CACTCAAAACTTCTCTACACTTCCTCCAATTTTTATGCTAAAACCTTGCCTAAAAACTTTAGAAAACCATGAAACAAGATGATCAAAGTGATATTAAACTATATTAAGGTTTGGGAGGCTTTGAGGAATTGAAAGATTGAAATTGGGGCTTAAATACCTATTCATCAAAGGTGAGATTTTGTTATTTGGTCTTAAATTTAAGTTATTTATATGTGTTTATTGATGAATTTAGAGCTAATTTATATTGGGTTTGTTGTTTGATTAAAAATTGAGATAAGTTATGATTAGAATTTTAATTGAATTTAGGGGTTTGATGATTTTAAACACTTATTTATACTAATTGATGCTTAAAATGAGATAATAAGTGATGTGAAATTGATTACTAGACTATGCGTTTGATAAATCCCCGAGTTGGTTGAGATGATGGGTTGTAGAGACAAGTTGTGTGAGGATTTAATTGAAAAAAAATTTGAGAAAAGTTTGATTTAAGTAATTTTAATTGCTTAGATTATGATTAATTATCTTGAATTAATGATTTATGAAGTTAATTTAGAGTTTAATTGGTTAAATTTTATTATCCGAATTATTTTTGGATATAATGAATTAAATTGAGATTTTGTATGTGTAGGATGTTATATGAATTATTTTAGGATTTTATAAAAGTGGTTTTATAATGATAAAGTATTTTGGAAAGGTTGAAAATGTGGTTTGTGAAAGTGTTCTTGTGATGATAAAGAATTTTTATGAAAGTGTTCTTGTTTTTTAAAAAGTTGAAGATGATGAATAGTAAAATATGAATTTTGCAATTTATTGGTTAATAATTGAGTAAGGAGTTTATTTATGAGTTTAATGATTTAACTAGAAGATTTATTGTAGATTGTTTTAATGATAGGAATTTAATTTCTTACGGAGGATAATTGTTGAATTACAAAGGAACCGAGGTAAACATGGTTCAATTCACTACAATAACTTTATGTGTGAATATGCGATGTGATTAAATGAGTCTTTAAGTGCACTTTAATGTGCACTTACATCATGAGTATAGATTTACATATTTTATGAAATGCATTGATATCATGTTATACATGAAAGGAAAAGGTTTTGGTAAAAGCTATTGGTAAAGGCAAGTTTTAGTAAAGACATAGTTTTGGTAAAAGAAAAGAGGACTAGACATAACGTTTAGTGAGGTATCCACATCAAGGAAAAAAATATTCACATGCATCATAAAAATTTATAAATGTCATGTATGACCATGCTTATTAGGTGTTAGCTAATGTTTTATCTTGTGGTATAGATAATGAGATTTTAGCTCACGAAGTCTTTTTAGACGTTCAAGATACAGATCGATGCACCTTGAGCATACTCTTGTATAGGGATTAGACTTTTATCTTTTTGGATAATTGGTTGTTAAGTTTAAGTTGCAACTTGAAATTTATTATGTATTTAACTTTATCATCTTTTGTTAGTTGTCTAGTTGATTTGAATGTTTATTTTTAGAATTCTAACAAGTATATAGTTTTATGTTTTGGTAAACATGTTTACTTATGAAATGTGTTAAAAGTTTGGGAATTCATATTTTTTATGATAGATTATAATCCTACAAAGAAATATTTGAACTTTATTTATTATATTTGGATTTTATTTGATTTAAATTTAATTACAAGATAGGATATTAAGTCATATTTGAGTTGAGCTATATATTGTGAGTAGCATCCTTCGTTACAAGATAGGATATTAACGTCATTGAAATATATTATTCATTCATTCAAAAAAAAAAAAAAAATTGTATAGGCACAAAATCTTTAGAAAAACAAGAACGGGCCATTAGCTATAAATTTGTGAGATGAACCAGAAAGCAAAACAGACACGAGGTAAGCATAACTACTCAATGATAAAATAAAAATAAAAAGAAATAATAGATCCCTATGCAATTTACACGTTGGCAAGTCAACAAAGAGAGCCACTCATCGCAGATAAGCAGAACACCTCGAAAATAGAAGAGGCCACGTGTCAAGTGCAGAGGTTTTGTTCGAGATTCTTATTTAGGCAGTCGCTGAAGGATTATCTACCTAACCATTAGAAAGGAAGCCTTGTGGATTTCTTACTTTAAGGACTCAAGAGTTAAGATATGTCGACAGCAGCAGCGGCAGCTTCACTGTGTTCGTCAACGCAAATCAATGGCTTTGGAGAAGCGCTTAGGCTTCAGAAAAACCGTCTCTCTCAACCCAATTCAATCGCTACCTTTACAAGGTCTTTGTTCCTTCTTACTTTTTTTGTGAAATTTTTATTGGGTTGGTGTATTTCTTTAATAGAGTTTTGGATGCTGTAAAAAATAAATATATATGTTCCATTAAGAAGGTTTGTCGACGAATGAACAAGGTTTTGAATGGAAGAAAGATGTTTAATTTTGGGTTTTTCATGTTTTCTGTGATGATGTTTATCTGAAGCTCAGATTCTTTGTTTGTGATACAATCTAAGTTTGAATTTATCATACTGAGATTTAGGAGTATCGTTAACGAAATGTGTGTTAACTATGCAATTTTTCTTTGTATTACATTTTGATTTACTTTTTGTTGTGTCCTTGACCAACCAGAAGCTTGATATATAACAGTTATGGAGTCATGACAAAAGTTTACATGTTTGCTAAGTTCTTGAGTTGATCTTTGCATGGGAATTTCCTGACAGGATGTCAGTTCCTGATTTCAATTTGGTGTACAAAAGAGTGTTGGACTTATGGAACAGCTTTAATTTTTCCTGTTATTTGTCGATCTTGTTTTTAAATGTTCTAGACAACCTGATCATATGTTAATGTTTCCAATAATTATCTTAGACGGTCTGTTCTCTATGGTTTTCTACGCATGTTCTACCATAATTCATTCCGGATTGTCTATATATAATCCTCATTTCCAAATGGGGTGTTTAAAATTCTATCCCAAGCTAAAGCATCCCCATTCTTAAGCTTTATATTATTCTCTTGAAAGTTTGCAAATGTAAGAGGTGAAATTTGATTTGTAGGGAGAAGAGGTAATGTTGCAATGATGCATCAATATAGGAATGTGAATGAAGGAAGTGCTAAAGGAGGAACAGGCAATAGTTAATGAAGAGTGCTTAGGCTTTTAGTACTCAAGTAACATACTAGAGTTGACGCAAATGAGTTCTTTAGATAGGTATGACATTAAGAGCAAAGATTCAATATTTGTAGTAAGTTTCTTAGAGAGAGAAAGTTCAATGGTTTTAGAGAGAGGAACTCTTAACTCCAAAAAATATCCAAAAGTTCTCAAATGAGGAAAGTGGAGGGGCATTTATTGGCATAGGATTAGGTGTCACAACCAATGAGATTGTGGGGAAGTTAAATGTTTAGTGAATTGCTTGGTGTCCTTAAGAGGGAACATGTCTTGCACTCTTATTCATTAAGGAAGATCAAGGTTAAATAAGTATAACCTTGACAATCCCTGCTTCAAGCTTTCCATCCCATAACTTCCAAGTACTCACAAATGAGTGAAGGACCTTACTAGCATCCAAGACTCTCTTGTGAGCCTTCTCATTCATTGTTTCTTTAGAAGTGATCTCCTTTTAAGTAATTTTAGAAGAGAGGAGAATGATTTAGATATAAGGAAAATATGTTTTCTTAGAAAAAACAAAAGGGAAGATGTTGGGCCACTACTTATTATGAAGTAGTGCTCAACTTCTTTTGTTCATACAAGAGCTGCACGACTATTTCCCCTGTCCAAAAAAGAGCATTCTTGAGTTTTGTCTGTGGCAAATTTTGGTAGAAGGCTTGTTTTGATAGATGTCCTATACTTTGGAAAAATCACCAAGTAAAGCAAAGAGTGACTTTCAAGAGGCACGGGACGTCTTATAGCAGAAGAAGCCGTGCCTCAACCTTTGTATAAGGAAATGGCACTCCTTCTTATGTACAAGGAAGATTCATCTTTTCTAGAATCCTGCATAAGAAATCCTTGTTGGAGTAATGATAGTTTTGTAAAGTGGAATTCAGGCATATGAACTTTGTAAAAATAAATTAATGTGAAAAAGCTAAATTTGTATCTACAAACTACGAAAGTGCATTTATCTGTATAGAAAAAGTCGAAGGTAATGTGAAAATTTTGACCCAAAGTAAAAATAAGAATAAGCAAAGGAAATTGAGTTGATATCTTGTGAAAAGGATCATAGGATCAGCATGTGTAAACCACAATTGAAGCGTACCTTGCAGAAAAGAGAGATGGCCAAATATGTTTTATGCTATTGCTTAAGAAATTTGTTTTGCACATGTGTGTATGAGTTAGAAAGGGACTGTTTTAAACAGATGAATGGAAAGAAAAGAAAGAAAGTTGGAATTCTTTGCAAACAACTCTCTCCTCTCCCTTCTCTCTCTTTGGTCTCAATTATTCTTGTTACTTTTCCTTATTTTGTAAACCCATTTAGCTGAAATTCTCCTAATGTAAGAAACCCTTTTTTTGTTTTCCTCTTTGGAGTTTATTACATATGCCCTACACTCATATAAAGGGGAAAAGGAGAGATATACCACTTTCCCCTCTAAACACCAACTTTACACTTCACCAAATGACTGTTTTTTATGAGAAGACCAACTTTGCACTTTAATTTCAAAACTCATTACTCACAACTTTCTTACTTGGTGCTGAAAAATACAAGGATGGGAGATTAGAGTCTAATCCTTTTTCAACTTAGCCAAAATTACTAGAGACCGTACGAGAGGGATCTTTTATTTCCTTAGCCCTCACACCTTACTCTTTATTTTACTTATTGATTTTTTTTTTTTTTAAAAAAAGTACAAGATCCACCAAACTAAGCTTTTACTGCTACAAAATTTTTGACTTAGAAAAGATTCAAGAATTTTCTTTGTGAACAAGGGAGGTCGTGCATCTCCTATGAACAAAAGAAGTCGCTTATTACTTTATAATAAATTGTGGTGTGATATCTTCCCTTTGAATTTTAATAAGAAACCATACTCGTCCTTATAACTAAGTCCTTTGAAGGGCATGCCTTCTAAGGAACAAGAGTGTGAGAAGGCTCGCAAGTGAGTTTTGGATACTGGTAGATCCTCACTTAGGAGTACATTAAGAGTTGTCGCATAGAAGGCTTGGAGCAGAGTTCATTGAGATGATACTTAGCGTAACCTTTGCTTTCCTCATTTAAAGACTTTTGGTCATTTTTCAAGAGTTTCTTTCTCCAAAATCGTTGTAATTACTCTCTAAAAACTACAAGTAACTGAATCTTTCCTCCTGAAGCCAAGCCTGCCTAAAGAACCCATCTGACTCAACTCTAGTACTCTACTTCAGTACTACCAGCTACACTTTTCATTAAGGATTGCCTGCTCCTCCTTCTTCAGTCACTTCTTTGATTCACATTCCTATCTTAAGGCATCTTTTGCTTACAACACTACCTCTCCTTCCTTCAAATTGAATCTCACCTCTTACAGCTACTATATCGAAAGCTTTTCCTAGCCCAAAAAAACAAAAGATTAGTTTACCCGCATATCTGGACCAAATAATGACACGTATCATTTGCTATATGCAGAACCTACTGTCAAACTTGGCTTCTCACTAATTTGTGCCCATGACCATCCCTTTTTCTATATGAAATATGATTTTTTTTCATAGTTACTTGATTTTGCCCAATGCCTTGGCAATGGCCATGAGTACCATGGTACTGCCATCCTATAGGGAAGTAATGTTTGGCTGAATTACTATAGTTAGAAGTGGATAGATGGTTCTATCTGCAGCTTCTTTCAGAGATTTTGACTGTTTATTCAGTTGAGTAATTCTTCTGGTTGATGTTGAAGCAGAAATTTTATGTACAGATGTTAGTCTGTTTGTGTGTGTGTGTGTATTTTGATTTTTAAGGTTCTTACCTTTGTACCTAAAATGACCCAACCTTTTCCCATAAAAGTTACAGAGTTCAATTCATGTTTAACTAAACAAATATGTGCCTCTTACTCGAATCCTTTCTTATGTATTTCTGCTACAATTTGGTTTGTAAATGTAGGAGAAAGGTTCGTACTGTAGTGAAGGCCACATCTCGGGTTGATAAGTTCTCCAAAAGTGATATCATTGTTTCCCCATCTATTCTCTCTGCTAATTTCTCAAAGTTAGGAGAGCAGGTTTGACTTTTATCTTCTGTACCATAATATAGTAATTCTGTAGTGCACTCAGATCATGCTTTTCGCCTCCATAAACAAGGGGAGGATATTTGTTTATGCAACCAATGTAGACCATGCCCTTTATCATTTGATTTGTAGTTTTTCTCATCTTCATTTCTTCCAAGAGCTACTCTGAATAGTTCTCTGTGGGCTCTATGGCACTTTGTACCCTTTTGGAAGAGTGGGTTCAGTTTGTTTTCATTTCATTCTAGGTAAAAGCAGTGGAGATGGCAGGTTGTGATTGGATTCATGTTGATGTAATGGATGGCCGTTTTGTTCCAAACATTACAATTGGACCTCTCGTGGTTGATGCTTTACGCCCTGTCACAGATCTTCCTTTGGATGTGCATTTGGTACTCCTTTATTCAATGTTAGTGATGGGGAATGAAGAAAGACATCAATGGGTATCTTTGTTTGATTATTAGGATATTTGATGTTGCATGACTATCCTAGATTTTTGGCATTATTTAGGAATGCTACTAATATTCCTAAATAATGCCAGAAATCTAGAATAATCATACAACATAAAAAATCCTAAATAATCAAACATAAATTCCCACAGTTGTCTTGCTTCTTTCCTCTCAATTTCATAATCATGTCCTAAATCGACTAGTAGCCATTTTATAACATTAAGCAATACAGATGATTGTGGAACCCGAACAACGAGTGCCAGATTTTATCAAGGCTGGAGCTGATATAGTCAGTGTTCACTGTGAACAATCTGCCACCATCCATTTGCATAGAACACTAAATCAGGTAAGATGTTCATCTGATCCTTGATGTTGTATATTCTGCTATTCAACATCAGATTTAGAAAACCCAACCCTCTCTGTTCATCCCCGAAAGTCCATGAAGAGCCCTAATAAGGAGTGGAATATCTTAGGTTTTGCAAAGATATGATAACAGTGTAATCAAATTTCGTTGCTGATGTTATTATATTTGCAAAGGGCTATTAGTTCCTCCTTTGACTACTTGTTTCTCTTCTCTTACAAACAAGATAAAAGATCTTGGAGCTAAAGCTGGAGTTGTATTAAACCCTGCAACCTCACTGAGTACTATAGAATATGTCCTTGATGGTGAGTTTTTTTTCCCTGTTGTTTCTGATTTTCCTTGTATTCCTTTTTTGGAGTTTTTTGTCTATGATAATTTTATGAAAGATAACTATTATAGAGATCATTTGTCCCTCTAAGATTCCATACCCTCTGTGGTGTTTGTCCAGTTAGAGTTCAGGTATAGACATATTTCTAGGATTGCTATGGATGGTCTCAGAGATAATAAAATAACTGAAACAAAAGTTCGCAAATTTGAAGCCCTCCATTGTTACCTCTGTTTTGCTTGAATGAACTAGTTTTGCACAATGGTAAATGGTCAGGATAATTAGACCAGAAAAACTATTAAATCATCTTGATGAGTTATGATGCATTTAGAAAAGATCTCTCTCTCTCTCTCTCTCTCTCTCTCTCTCTCTCTAAAGGAATGTGAAAACTGACCTTTTTGTTCTTGCTGAGTTGCAGTGGTTGATCTGGTGTTGATTATGTCAGTCAACCCTGGTTTTGGTGGGCAGAGCTTCATTGAGAGCCAAGTAAAGAAAATCTCAGAGTTGAGAAGAATGTGTGTAGAAAAGGTATAATCCTTCGTGTGTGGACACATCTATATGCACATTTGCTTTATGTGCTTTTTTCCCTTTCTACATGAGTGCAAAGCTAGCATGTTATGCCTGTTTATGCAGGGAGTAAATCCATGGATTGAGGTGGATGGTGGAGTTGGTCCAAAAAATGCATACAAGGTACCTGATATAATTTCTTTGCTCCTTGGAGAACATATGGGCCTTAAATTGTGATTTCTGGACGAGTTTTACTGTCATTTTGAAAAGATGGACTCATGTTAGTATAGATGGTGTTTGGTTATGATTTTCTTTTTCGCCCAGAATTTTTGACCTTATCTTGTAAGTGCTATAATGATTGCCATTTGGTGCACTTTCAATACTATTTCTGCCAAGAAAATGCTTCAAAGAAACTTGTGTAGGCTCCCTTTGTCTTCCTGCTTTTAAGATCAATTTACTTTCAATACCGCTCAAAATAATATTTCACATAATCATTTGATTTACGATATTGAAGTTAAAAGATGAGGATTGGGGTCGGGGTAGAAAGAGAACCTGATACAAAGTTATCCACAGCAACTGGAGAACTTCGTTTTTCCACTATAATATGCCAATGAAAACACAACCAAATCTCCTTTGGGTATATTTATTAGCCTACACGTCCTTGTGATATAATTGATCAAAACTAATCAACATTCATGCTGGCAGGTTATCAAGGCTGGAGCTAATGCTTTAGTTGCTGGTTCAGCTGTATTTGGAGCTAAAGATTATGCTGAAGGTATGGGCACAGACTGTTTGCTGATCTTATGCATATAAATGCTGACTATATACATGTATTTTAAATGTGTCTTGACATATTTTTCTGATATAATTAAATTGGTTTGCAGCTATAAGAGGAATCAAAACTAGCAAAATGCCAGATGCAGTGGCAGTGTGACTTCTGACTTCAAAGATTGACTGTTCAAATGTGCAATATCCATATTCTTCATTACCATGTATGTTCCCTACCTATCCTATTTAGGAATCTCACTTGAATTTCATAAGAGGTTTCTTGGGGGTGTTCTGAAGTCACAACAAAATCAGTCATGGGTGAAAATCATCATAATATGTACATGCATTCTTATTATTACATGGGTGCATTCACTCATCCTGACAATGAGCTCGTAGCTCAACTGGCACTAGTGCACCCCCAAAGAGGTCCTGAGTTTGAGCCTCCATTATAACCACACGCACACACACATATCTTCCTCGGTGTTACATGTAAAACATTTTTTAAGTGTTGATCTTAACTTGCGCTCACGGTCTTTGTATTTGCAGATAATACAAACAGGAGATAAACAACATGTTGCTGGCTGTGTGTTAATTGTAAGATATGCTGCAACTTCTCCATTGACTTGTCTGGTGGGACAGATAAGGTAATAAGAAATGAAGTCTGCAGTATGAGTGCAATGAAGCATACTTTTGTGTAGCATATCCTTTTCATGGATTTCAATAAATCAAATTTCTGTGAACCCCTTAGTAACAGTCAATAGTTCCCATTAGTTTCGTTCACTGTTTTTAATTGTTCCAATATTTTCGTTCTAATATAACGAAAATGAGAGTAAATAAAATCAGAACCTCATTAAAGCAACAGTAGTTCGACTTTCAGGTTACCGTCCACTCTGTCTGAGGTTCCCCCAGGCTGTTCTCATATTTCTTCTTTCATTTCTGGTTTTGCAGTTATCCTGCACCATGTTTTCTGCCTGATTATAGGTTACTACTGAACACCATCATAGAATGGCTAGCAAAATTGCATTAAGAGCGAAGGACTATCCCTCTGTCATTGTATGATTGACTTGGGAAATAAAAGAATTCTTTGTGATCTTTTCTTCTTTTCTCTAGGCTGAATCAATTCTTGAATCAATATTTACTTCAAATACTTAACTCATATAAATACCTAAACAGTTCATGTTCCATATGAGCAAAGCTGGATAACACAACTTTTTCTAGCGAGCCACTAAGAGACTCGTATAATTAATGACCCAAAATGTGAAGAAAATTACATCATTTACCAATGTGTCTATTCATTAGCTTTTCGTCAAGTTATTTTGGTGTTTTGTAGCGTTATTTAACGGAGAAAACCATACATCTGTCCTGCTTGTTTCAAGAAACAAATTAATTAATCTTTTTTGTTTTAAAAATTATTATTTAATTTTTTAATCAGTACTGATCATGTTTAATATAATATTATTTTTTTATAAAATATTTTTTTTCTCATCATTTTTTTTTATATTTTTATTTTCATAACAAAAAAATCAAAGTAAATTAAAAAAGAGCAAAAATATTAAGTTATAAGTAGATTTAATAATATGGGAACTAAATTAGTTTTGAAAACCAGGGGGATTAATTAATTCTTTTTTTGTTTCAAAACAGGAGGGATTAATTTATAATCTACTCTTATTTAATGAGTAATGATATGCTTAGGCTATCAATGGGTCGGATTCAAATTACATCATAATAAATTTAGATTCGATTTGTTTAATAAAATTGATCACATTGAATCTTATGACTTAGATCAAGTTTTAAAAATGTGAAATTAAATTTGGATCCTAACGAATTTGGATCAACTTTATCACTTGATTTATGTAAAAAAAAATTATATTTATTACATTTAATATATTTTTTAATATAAAATATATTTCAACTATTATATGTATAATAAAATATATTAAGATAATATTTTATTTATGAAAAAATCAAACTGATACGCAATTCAAAAGTACAAAATCAAATAATCTAAATAAAAGCTTTTTCTTGAACTAGATAAGAAGTATGATCGAACTAAAAAAAATAATCTTTATTTTTTATTCATGTGATAACAAAAATAAGGTGATGACATATATATATATATATATATATATATATATATATATATATATATATATATATATATATATAGGAAATTGAATTAATAAAATGACAAGAAATTTATGTGATTTTTTAAAAATACAATCGTAACTTTAGAAGGATGTGTTATTTGAACTTCATAATAAATAAACTCTAAATTTTAAATTAGTTTCATATTTATATTTTTTTCATATTTGAATTTTTAATATTTTAAAAATATTATATCTATTATAAAAATATTATCTTTAATTTCATGTCGGATTATTATTAGATTGGATCAATATAGATCTAGATTTGATCTATTTAATAAACAGATTAACAAATTTGAATCATAATCGGACTCGGATCGGAAAATTTGTTTTTCAAATTTATTTAAATATGTTGAATTTGGGTTAATTTGGATTAAGATCTGATTCATTTACAGCATTAGATATATTTTAGGAGCCAAGTGTAACGAGTGAGCTAGTCTTTCTAATTTAAATGAGACTTTATTCAAAGTAATATATTGTGACATCTTTGACATCTTTGCGCTTAAACGAGACTTCTAAGGATTTTTTTTTTCTAATTCAAATTAGGAATTTGGTGTGTGTATATATATATATATATATAACGCAATTGTTTAAGAAAATAGATTAATCTTTATTTATTTATTTTTTACAATGAAATATGGCAATTTCATTAAATAAAAAAATGTTTGGAAATACATTGCTAGTCTAAAACTTAATGGTTATGGATTACAACTTAATTTTAGGGCTATTTTTCCCATCCATGAACCCTCTAGTTTTTTAATTATATATATATATATATATATATATATATATATATATATATATATTTGGCTTGATTGAGACCATGTATTCTTCATTTAGTTTTGATTGAAATTCTTCATTATGATGTTGTTTATTATTAATCCAACATGACATGTTGTTGTTAGATCCAACTAATGAATGATTGATACGTGGTATTATGGATCTCACGATACAGCATAGAGTCTTATGAGGGTTTCAATTAAAATTAAATGAAGAATGTAGGGTCTTAATCAAACTAAAAGGAATAGATGTCCTTCTTCAAACTTTTAGTGTACTATCATTTGCAAATGAATAATTAAAGTTAAAATTTAATATATAAAGGTAATTACTGGGATGTTTGGTCTAAAAAACTAAAGAAGAATGAAGGATTGTTCTCTCTTTTGAGCAATTTTACATTCTTTGCGACAAAAAAAAAAAAAAAAGTAATCAATCATCTAATCATTGCATCATGTTATATTTTCTTCTCTATTACCAACTTCATTATTTCTTAATTAACTCATCATCATTTTTTTTTTTACTTATTAGGTGCTTTTTTAAGTTTTATTATTTTTAATGTGATTCTTTAAATTTGCTCCTTACTGTCAATAATTGCCTCGTATATTAAATTTTAACTTTAATTATGCATTTGCATATGATATTGTACTAAAGTTTGAAGATTTTTTTTATTTGATTAAGACTATTTATTCTTCATTTATTTCTAATTGAGACTCTCATAAGACCCAGTACCGTCTTGTGAGATTCATAGTGACACGTGCAATTATTCATTGGCTAAGTCGAATAGTAATAGATTATGTTGGATTAATAATAAATGACGTCATATCGAAGGGTATTAATCAAAATAAAATAAAAAGTATATAATTTAAATCAAGTAAAAAAAAAAAAAGAGTAGAGGGTTTTAATAAAAAAAAAATCAAAGAATAAAGGGTCTATATATGGAAAAAAAAACCCTAATTTTTGAAAAAAAGATTAAACAAAACAATCAACAATAAATATTGGTGAAAAAATGTCTCCTGGGCCCCTAATTGTTTGCTTGTGGATGATGAATTTAACTAGTTCGCGAAGGACATTTAGAAAAGGAAAAAAAAAAAAAGATGCGAATGACATTTAGATAAGGAAAAAAAAAGATGCAAAATGGAAAGTAAGTAGTTGTCACCTAATTATTAGAAGAAAATAAGACATATATGGAAATAGTTTAAGAGATTTTTGATAAATTTTATTCTAATTCTTAGAGGAAATCTAAGTCCAATTCACATTTATTAAGCATTAAATTCTCAATTCAAATTAAATATGAAATCTTAAAAAATATAAATTTTTTTGTATAATCAAACCCTGATTTAGGTGACCTAAATCAATTAAATTGACCTAAACAAAACAAGCTGATCTAAATGGATTAAAGTAACCCAAAACAAACAAGGTTACTTAAAAACAAGCTGAAATTGCCCATCTCAAGGAAGGAAATAAGATCTTAGACTTAAGCCCGCTTTCAATTATTAAAACATGATGGATCCATCGTACCCAACCTGATTAGGTCGCCCGATAAAGATGAATATGCACGATGAAGGAGAATGAGATGGGCCTCATGCCTTCAAGCCCACGTTATTAATATTAATAGGCCACATACCTGAGCCACGTTCTCAAATAATCACTGAGAAATAAGCATGTTTTTGACAATAAATTATGTACACATCTTTCAAGTACCAACAAATTTTAAAAACTAAAATTCCTACAAATTGTTGCAATTCAATTTTGATCTCTTATTTTTACCAAAATAAATAGATAAACATTTTTCTCGATTTATCTGATTTTTTTCAAAATTTAAGTCTTTTCAAAAATTTTTTTATGGGTTTTATTATTTTCATAAATTCTTGATAAAGATAACCAAGCATAAAAAATGGTGAAGATAAAAAGAATTGGTTCATAAAAAAAATGAAAAACAAATGGGTGAAATAAATAAATTAAAAAGAAAATCAAGAAAATAAAGAAAATAAAATAAAACCTTTTAGACTATCCTAATCCGATTTAATTACGCCTAATCCTATATTTTTTAGGAATAGTTTATTTCAACTTAAGAGTGAAGAAATCCCTAATAAAACAAGTTTAATTCATCTAGAAGGGATAAACCTAGACAAAAAGGTGTCTAGGTATACACTCCAAGTTAGGTATAAATAAGAAAAATAAAAAAAAATGTCAAAAAGTGGTTAATAGGGGGTAAAAAATTCAAAAAAAAAAAAAAAAAAATAGA